CCCCAAAACCCCAAAACCCCAAAACCCCAAAACCCCATACTGACAAATTATAAAAGATATAAAGGAATCTAGGAAGATAAATGTAGGTAAATATTTGATTGAATATGAATAATTTATGATGGCGACCGAATGAACAAATCATTTGTCCTTGGCTTCCTCTTTCTTTTCTCTTTCGATTCTCTCGAGTTCGTCCTTTCTCTTGTAGAACTTCTCGAGATTCTTGGGACTAATCTTCTTAAGCATCTTTTCTGGGAAAAGTCTGAGAAGAGACCATGCAGTGTCGAGGGACTTGAAGATATCTCTGGAATCATATGATCCTTGTCTAAGGAACTGACCTTCGAATCTCTCTAAGAATTCAAGATAAAGTCTATCCTCTTCAGTCAAGGCTTCCTCTCCGACGACGGCCTTCATGGCTTGAGTATCTTTACCGATAGCGTAGAAAGCATATAATTGATTTGAGACTTCTGGGTGATCAACTCTAGTGAAGCCCTCACCGATAGCAGACTTCATTAAACGAGATAGAGATGGGAGCACATTAATGGGTGGATAGATCTGTCTGTTGTGCAAGTTTCTGTCGATGAATATTTGACCTTCTGTGATATAACCAGTAAGATCTGGAATTGGATGGGTGATATCATCATTTGGCATGGTCAAAATGGGCAATTGGGTGATGGAACCATTTTTGCCAGTAACTCTACCAGCTCTTTCATAGATAGTTGAAAGATCAGTATACATATAACCTGGATAACCTCTTCTACCTGGGACTTCCTCTCTAGCGGCTGAGATTTCTCTCAAGGCGTTGGCGTAAGAACTCATATCAGTCAAGATGGTAAGTACGTGCATTTCCTCTTCATAGGCAAGATACTCAGCAGTGGTAAGAGCGAGTCTTGGAGTAATAATTCTTTCGATGGTTGGATCATTGGCCAAGTTCATGAAGAGAACGACTCTATCCATAGAACCATATACTTCGAAGTCAGTCTTGAAGAATCTAGCAGTTTCCATGTTGACTCCCATAGCAGCGAAAACGATAGCGAAGTTTTCATTTGAGTGATCGTGAATATCCTTTTGCTTAACCAATGAGGCTTGTCTACAAATTTGAGCACCGATTTCATTGTGAGGAAGACCAGCAGCTGAGAAAAGAGGAATCTTTTGACCTCTAGCAATGGAGTTCATGACATCAATAGCGGAGATACCAGTTTGGATCATCTCCTGTGGGTAAACTCTTTAGTAAGGATTAATGGGTTGACCCTATATAAATTAATATTTAGCTATTTTAATATTGATTAAGATATCGAGTGGAAAGGTTTGACTACTAGTAGTCAAAAGGGATACTATTGTTTTGAATTCTTACCTGAATATCTAAGAATTTCTCAGCCAAGACTGGGGGGCCGTGATCGATGGGGGTACCTGAACCATTGAATGATCTTCCCAACATCTCAATACTGATTGGCATACGGAGTACATCACCAGTGAACTCGCAATGGGTATGTAAATTATCAATACCTGAAGTACCTTCGAAGATCTACAGAATAAATAAGAATCTGATGCAACCATCTTGCGATTATTGAGACTTACCTGTACGACGGCTCTCTTACCACAGATTTCGAGGACTTGACCCTTTCTCATGGATCCATCTCCTAGTTTTACATTTACAATCTCTGCATATCTATGCGGATTCTTTTAGCGGGTATTAAATAGCTTACTTGGGGAACTTAACATTGTCAAGAACGACGAGAGGACCCTCGACATCAAGTACTGTTCTGTAGTCAACTCTTGGAGTGATGTTGTAGTTAGTTGTGACAGCTTTAACGTGTGCGTCTGTTGCCATTTGTCTTGTGCTTTGTGAAATTAGATAAGATTTCTACTCTTCTTTGATTTATAATTACTATAATAAAAGGCTTGTATATATAAGCCCTCAGATTAATCTTATTAAATTTATACTCTTTCTTATTATCAATTTAATGGCTTTTAGCGGACTCGGAGGAGTTGAGTATGATTTCTTCAAATATTATAATTTACAGATCTCATTGGAGAACTGTCTAGTACAAACTTTCTGAATATGCCTATGAGGAGAGAATGCTTTACCTAATCTTGAATTCTGATGAAACATTCGAGCTTAGATGGGTTGATTATTACTCGATAAGGTATGAATAATTTGAATTTCAAACAGTTAACAACCTTTAATGTGTAGTGGCTTTGATGAAATTATGAATCTTGAAGCGGGAACATACCCTCCATCAACGTCTGTATCGAATACTAATACTTCTGATAAAAACAATGAAAAAAATGCAGCAGATAATAAAAAAGAGGAAGAAGCGAGATTAACTGTTTAGGAATAGGATAAAATTGTAGAAGATAAGATCTAGGAGATCATTGAAAGTAAGATTTGAGTAATCATATTATAGAGAAGAAGAAATTAGAGAGAAATGTTAACGTATGTATGTATGGCAGACATGACCTAACAGGCGACAAAGATTTGAAATTTTCTGTGACACATTGCTATCACAATGGAAATGATGACTTATTCGATACTGAGGAGTTGAAAAAAGAATTCTCAGGGGAAACATTTGAAAATATGAAGACTATGTACATGAATCTCAAGGTTCCATTAAAAATTGAGCAAAGATTCAAAACTTTGTAATTGTTCAGTCAACCTGGTCGCAGTTTGGATTGAGAGAATTCATCTAACATTAAATCTAAAATTTATTAACTTTAATTAAGAATTAATATTAATATTTAATATGTTAATTGAGTACAGGCAAAAAGTATAAGACCTATACGAAGTAAGTTTTAATCTATAAAACTTTAAATCTCCTATAATCAATCATAATTCTTAATACTTAACATCTAGAGAGTCCAAAATTTGAAGAATCAGGGTAAATAAAACTCTGCTGAGTTCCAGGAGGTAAGTCCTTAATTATGATCCTATATAATACCCAATCCGAGGTATCCACGCTTTTGGCGGGGACCCAGTCTAAGAAATTTTATTAAAACTCTTATTTATAGATCTTTGAAAACATGCAAATAGCATTCGAGAAAGTAAAGCAACTTGAGCTTGAAGAATAGAACGAAGCAGCTATTGAATAACAGGTAAGACTCTCTTAGTTTGATAGAAATAGAATCCAAACTCACATCTCGGGAAGCAAGTTTAAGAGTATAGGTAGATCCTATAGAATAATTTCAACAATCATAAGTCAAACAGACTGATCACTGCTGATCAGCTACAATTGAGAAGAGAGCAGATTCACAATTAAACTCAAAAAGTTTATAGAGAGAGATTTGAGGAAAATTTATAAGTCAACTACAAGGATCTTTGCGATTACATAAACAAAAAACTACAAAATGAAGGTGAAAATTCATTAAGACTTGGTAACACTGGCAATAATAATCACTCAGAGTACTTGTAACAATATCTCTAGCATATCAATGAAAGTGATGAAATTAACCAGTAAATGGAGCTACTCCAAAAAGTAATAGATGATAAAGATACACCTGCAGACATAAAGAAAAAGTCCTAATTCTAACTTAAACTATTAAAACTCAAGCCTCTACAGTAGAAAATGAGAGAAGATATTTTGAGTAGGTATAGTCTAAATAAAATAGCTCTTCAAAACTACAAACAACAAACTTAAGGTGACTATCTATTTGAAAGATAATTGGTTGATAGAGATTTTTATAAAAGAGCAAAGGTGTACTCAAGTAGTAAGAAAGAAGCTAGAACACTTGACAGATTTGAGCAGTAGATGAGATCTGGATAGGAACTCAGAAAGAAGACTAGACACAAGGAATTATTGAATGAAATCATATTCCATGCCAATAAGTTTACTGAATTTCACAAAAAAAGACAAAATTAAATAAGGAAAAAGGCTTTAATCATTAAGACTAATTTGGATTCTAAGGAAAAGAAAGAGTAAATGGCCAGAGACAAAGAGGAGAGAGATAGAATTAAGCTCTTGAAGGATAATGATTTTGAAGGTTATATTAACCTCATTAACACGTAGAAGAATTCTAGATTACTACAGATTCTGGAACAAACACATAAATACCTTGAGTAACTTGGAGCTAAGGTTAGCATCCAAAAATAAGAAAGCTAGTTGAACAAAAAGAAAAAGACAGTTGGTGGAGGATAACCGAATGCGAATGAAAACGAAGCTGAAAAAGAAATCAAATATGATGAATATGGAAATGTTATAGAGGAATGTAATGAAGATGAGATTCCAGATAGCGAGAAAATAAAGAGTAATTTGAAGAATAGTAGCAAAATTTATTATGCCATTACCCACACAGTCTAAGAAGAAATAAAAGACTAGCCGAAAATGATCAAAGGGGGAGTTCTTAAGTCGTATTAAATGATCGGCCTAAACTGGCTCGTCAGTCTTTATAACAATAACCTCAATGGTATATTAGCAGACGAGATGGGTCTTGGTAAGACAATCTAAACTATTTCACTCTTCAGTTACTTAATTGAAGTAAAAGGAAATGAAGGCCCTTTCTTAGTAGTTGTTCCGTTAACTACAATTTCAAATTGGATTATGGAGTTTGAGAAGTGGTCGCCCGATATTAGAAAGATAGTATACAAAGGAAAGAAACATGAAAGACCATTGCTAGCGTAACATTTAAAGAATGATAAGTTTCATGTCGTTTTGACAACTTATGAATATGTGTTAAATGATAAATCTACTCTCTGCAAAGTACCTTGGCAATATATTATTGTTGATGAGGGTCACAGAATGAAAAATTAAAAGTCTAAATTTGCTCTTACTCTTGGTCAATAATATCAATCTGCTCATAGAATTTTACTAACTGGAACACCACTTCAAAATAATCTGAGTGAGCTTTGGGCTCTTTTAAACTTTTTGCTGCCTAAAATCTTTTCATCTTGTGAAGAATTTTAGAAATGGTTTGATAAGCCTTTAAGCAAAATTCATCCCCTGACAAATTCTAAATTCAACCCTAATGAAAAATAAGCCTTTGAGTTGTCTGAAGAAGAGTAACTACTTATCATAAACAGATTGCATCAAGTATTGAGGCCATTCTTGCTGAGAAGAGTCAAATCTGAGGTGGAAAAAGAATTGCCAAATAAGATTGAAATGGTCATTAAGGTTGACCTCTCTGCATGGTAAAGAATTGTCTATGATGGAATCACGGATAATGGAAAACTAGCAAGAGACCCTTCAACAGGTAAAATTGGAAATCTTGCCTTGAGAAATACTGTGATGCAGTTAAGAAAGATTTGCAATCATCCTTATCTCTTCTTAGACGGCTTTGAACCAGATGATTTAAGAGAGAATATCTACAGAAGTAGTGGAAAGTTTGAATTACTTGATAGAATTCTCCCAAAACTAATTTCTACTGGGCATAAAATTTTAATCTTCTCTCAATTTACTCAACTCATGGATATTATGCAAATATTTTTTGACTTCAAAGGTATTAAGCATCTCAGACTTGATGGTGGAACTAAGCACGAAGATAGATCTAAAAACCTTGCTATATTTAGTTCTGATCAATCTGAGTTCTAAGTATTTTTACTTAGTACTAGAGCTGGAGGACATGGTCTCAATTTGCAAGTTGCTGATACTGTGATCATATTTGATTCAGATTGGAATCCATAAATGGATGAATAAGCCAAGGACAGAGCTCACAGAATTGGCTAAAAGAGAGAGGTAAGAGTCTATAGGCTCATTACAACAACTAAAATTGAAGAAGGTATATTGTCTAAAGCAACTTAAAAGAAAGATCTCGATGCAAAGATCATTTAAGCAGGTATGTTCAATGACAAAGCAAGTGATGTCGATAGATAGAAAAGACTTGAGGATCTTATTAGAAAAGATTATGAAGATGATGGGGATGGAAATGTTGATGAGACTGAAACTCCCAACGATGATTAGATAAATGACATGATTGCTAGAGATTAGAATGAATACGATATCTTTACAAGATTGGACTAGGAAAGATATAAGGATGAGAGAAAAGAAGAAAGACTCTAAGAAATCAAGAAAAGATACGATCTTGAAGGAAGACTTATTAACATTAATAATGTTAATTACAGACTACTTTAGGATTGGGAAGTTCCTGAATGGATCAAAATCAAGCCAGATGATCCTAACAAATTGATTGAGGAATTTGGAATGGGCAAAAGGCAAAGAAAATAAGTTAATTATAACGACGAGATTAGTGAAGGATAATGGTTAAAGATTATTGAATCGGGGGCTGATATCAACCAAGAAGTGGAGAAAATCAAGAAAAGAAGAATGGATTAAAGAGATAGACCTTCAAACTAAGCCGAAATTGCTTAAGCTGACTTAGCTAAGAGAAGAAAACTGAATGACAACTCCGAAAGTTTATTAAGTGGAGATGAAGATGATGAAATTTATGCAATGGATAATAATGTACATAATGTTTCTATCAAGAAGCAAGGATATACCTCTGAAACCTCACAAGTATCAGATAGAGTCAAAATAATTGGAGTTAACAACAACTCAAACGGAATTAAGATTCAGATTAAGAAGGATAGCAATGAGGATAGTAAGGGTGCTCACAGTAATAGTTCAAGATCAAACAAGAAGGTAGATCATCATAGCAAATCTAAGAAGTCTTCTTCAAAGAAACCACAAAATCACAAAATTTAAAAGGAGGAAGAGTTCAATGATGAAGACGATTTAGTTATGAGTGATAATGAGTTAGAAGAGGGAGAAATTCCTGAGCCAATCGTCAGTCATTCTAATGGAGGCAGAGAAAAAAGAAAAGCTGCGCCTACAAACCTCAAGGAAAAATGAGTTCTTGATTTATGAAGATTAAAAATTAACATGATGATCATTTATTCTTAAAATCAAAACATAGCTTCAAATAATTAGTAAATACTAGCGCATTATTAAATTATTCAATGTTTAAAATGAATGTTGACAATTGCTAAAGATAGATTTAAATTCTTATTTTATTTAAATTGATAGAATTAGATTTGAAATAAAATGATTCATTGGTCTGAAAGATAAAAGCTGAATTTTAAAAATGATCCAAATGTCTTACAAACTCCCAAGAAAAGATAGTACCCTGAAAGGAATCTGCATTATGTTTCCAATAATTCTGTGCTACTACCTGAGATTAATTCCAACAACATATCAATTAATGATCTAAGTTTCAATGGTAAAGGCTAAGGAGTAAATAGATTAGGAGCAGGAATAAGCAATTAAAGATCAATTAATAATATAAGAAATTAATAAACTTATCAGTCGCCAATGAAGTCTCGAAATGATGTAATAAAGCCAAATGAGATAGAAGTAACACCTTAATTCAAATAGCTGATGGAATAAACATAGCCAGCAGGGTTATCGAGAAATGACTTTGCTATGACTTTTAACACAAGAAGATAGCTTAATTTGGGAAGCCAAATTATAAATTAAAGAGAGAAATTTCCAAATTACAATATTCTGTAAGGCTTGAAAAGACACTAACTAGATAATGATAGGAGTGTCGACAACATCAAACAATCACTGAAATAAGGATAGCACTATATTAATAAACTTCAATAAGACTATAAGAGAGAAATAAGTCTTAGTCAACTTAGGCCAAATGGCACAGCAAATCTTTTGAAATTTAATAACTAAATATATGAGTTGCCCTCTTATGATCTTTAAGGAAATCAACCTTATGGAGCAGCACCATCTGGATTAGGAGAGTAAAGAGATTACATAGTAAAGCTCAATCCTTATTATGACTACTCAGCAGATGCAAAATATTAAGAACTAAAGAATAAAGCTGATCAATCGAGTATTCAAAACCAGAGCCTTAGAGCAGAGGAGTAAAACCAAGGTTGCTATCAAGATTAAAATTTCAATGGCAAACATAGTAGAAATCTGATAGCAAGAAGAAATAGTGAGCTGATAAAAGGCATTTTAAATGATTCCTAAAATATAAAGCAGTAAGAAATGAACAGGAAGCTTAATTAGACCATGATGGAAGATAAAACTGATTATACTTTCAATCAGGGTTTAGTGAAGGGGTATATTGATATTTAGGACTAAGAGATGGACACTGAAGCTTCTACTCTCAATAAAACACTAGAAAACTCATTGGATACCTAGAAACAGACATCTCCTCCTAAAGTCAGCAATGGAAATGACTCTTTAATTAGTAAAGCAGCAGAATAAAGTATTAATTAAAACTCCATTGATAGAGGAAATATTATAGGGCATTCCTCTCAAATTTAGTTTGATGACTAGACATAGACTCACAATGATTCCCAATAAAATCTATAGATTAACAACAGCAGGAGGCAGCTAGGCAATTAATTAGAAGAGATTAATGATCCGTTTTACATAGAACAGTAGCGTAGACTTGCTAAACTTAGACAAGCTTAAATGAAGCAAGATTAAATTTTCCAATAGCATCTTTAATGAATAACAATTCCTGAGTCTATAAAAGAAAATATTCAGTAAAATCATTAAAAGTAAGTTTAAGAGGAAGACTATCAAAGAGCTCTTGCTTTTATTTAAAGAAGGAAAGCCGAACATGACAATAAAAAGAAAGAATATATGAATGTACTCCAGTCCTAGATTAAAGCGAAAAATGATCAAGATTCATTCATGCGCGAGGAAAAAGAAAGATAGAAATCTCAAATCAAATTTAAACAAGAACTGAATCAAAATATGGATTCTGACATTAAAAATCAGATCAAAATGCAGCAGAATTCCTACAAGAAAATGTTAGATGAATAGAAATTTCAGGAAAGTTTAAATTATAGTCAAAATAGAAGTACAATGAGTATTAATGATCGTGATGATAGTGATACAAGATCTAGGTCCTAGCTCAGAAATCTAAATGGGTCTATGAGAGATGGTAGTAGCTATTATGGAGATTATACTTATCATCAATAGAATCAAAGCTAGTATATGAATAAGATAGATATAATGAATCAAAATGCTTAGTACAAGGGCAATAATATTATGGATTAATCTTAGATAAAATATGGTTAAAGTATGTCTAGTAGTTTGGAAAGGCCCTATCATTAACGTAATTGAAAAAATAATAGAATTGATCTTGATTTTTAATAGGAAATTATTTATATTGAAAACAATGAATTCTATAATCTTAATTTCATCATTTAATGTATCAATAAATTTTTATACTCTCGGGGTTTTGGGGTTTTGGGGTTTTGGGG